ATAAATTCCGAAATCGATTGTGTCTCGAAACATCGACTTTTCTGAGGAGCCTCCCTTAGTGAATTTTCCAAAAAGCAAATTCCTTTTATCAAATTTATGTTTAGATTTTGTAAAAGTAACTTTCTAAACTGCTTGTAGAACAAAATATTTCGCAAATATCAGCTATTCTAATGATATGATTCATCAATATTAAAAGAAATATACTATTCGATACGTTTTTATTAAATATCATGAAGGTAATTTACCAAAGTCACCATCAGAATAAGGACCAAAATCAAGTTTAGTGACGTTTCGAAACTTAATATCGCTTAATTTGCATTTTCCAATTTTGAACGGCATTTCCCTTGATGGTAGACAGTTTGAATCGTCAGAATTTCTGTATGTATCTAAAAACAAATAAATTGATGAAATTCCTAAAAATCGCTGTTTTTTTAAATTGTTCAATCAATAACAAAACATACCCGAGTTACATCAGGAAAATTTCTTTTTCATACAATTCTGTTTAATTAAATTCGTGATTTTCCTTTCTATTTTATTCTAAATTAAGCACACAAATTAAAATCTGTGATTAACAGCTCTTTACATTCTATTTCAATAGAAATTATTTAACGTACTGAGTTTTGGATATCCAAATGGATACCCAATTGCTATTATATAAAAGGAATGTGAAGGTACTGCACTACCGTGAGATGGCTTTTAAGTTTTTAAAATTTGACTCTTAAATGTTTCGACGTGTCCCATCAACTACCTTTTTGTGGAAATTTTTCATAGATTTCTATAGAGGTGACTAGTGCTCAAAAAGGTATGGTAGATACCCATATAGTGAGACAATTCTCATCAGGGTCCGCTGCAAGATCATATGACATGCTAGTAGTGGAGTACCTTTTTGGGTACCCTGTTAAAAAGTGCTTCAGTACACACGTATCTTGAATTCAATACAATCACTAGGGCTTGCGTGTTTTTTTTAGCACAAGAACGGTACTACTCTTAATCAAGGTATTATATACTAACATCACCAGTTTTCATGTCATATGGTACTGATATTGTCAGAGTTTTATCTAGCGTGGAGATCATGCCCTTTCGACGATTGATTTCGCGCTCCGGAAATAGTTTTTACCCTTCAGGAGAAAAAAAAACTGGAAATTGTAATAAAATATTCACCTGTATAAATTTTGATACAAAAAACGTTGGGAAATAGTTCATCAAATTGTTCAAGAGAGAGATAAAGAGATGGATGTAAATCAATCCAAACACAGTTACGGGGTGGGGTGTGGGTGTCTGGGTGTGGGTGGGGTGTGGGTGTGGATATGGATATGGGCGTGGGTGTGGGTGGGTGTGGGTGTGTGGGTGTGGGTGGGTGGATGTGGGTGGGTATGAGTTGTGGGCACCGGTGTTTATCTGCATTCACAAACCCACCCACCCACACCCACACACCCACACCCGACCCCATACCCACACTCTAAAAAAATAGGTTTTTTACCAAACCCCTGAAGAAGGTTCGGTAGCTTTGAGAAAGCATCCACTTGCCTCCAAAGGCTTGAAAAACAATTCTTCAGTTCTACCAAACCTTTAAAGGTTCTTTCCGTGTACCCGAAGGAAGAACCTTCTCCTACGAAACCTTTTTTTACGCTCCATACAGTAGAAAAAGGTTTCGCACGATAATGCGAAACCTTTAGGGTTTGATTTTCAATTTCAATGGTTTTTCCTAAACCACAATGGCTTCGTACTAAACTATCGGAATTGAATGTGAAACCTTGAAGGTTTTTACACGAAAATGCGAAGCCTTTTTCTACTGTACGGAAGTTAAAGAAAGGTTTCGTAGGAGAAGATGCTTCCCCCGAGTACACGGAAAGAACCTTTAAAGGTTTGGTAGAACTGAAGAATGGTTTTACAAGTCCATGGAGGCAATTGGATGTTTTTTCAAAGCTACCGAACCTTTTTCAGGGGTTTGGTAAAAAACCTATTTTTTTAGAGTACGCTTCCGCCCTCATACCCACCTCACCCTCACATCCACACCCACGCCCACCACCCACCCACACCTACACTCCGCACCCACATCCCCACCCACAACCGCACCCCACAACCACACCCTCACATCCCACACCCACCCACACCCTAACAGAAGCGTCTCAATTAGGAGTGGTACTTTAACTTTAAAGTTAAAGTAAGTTTTTTCGGAACTCTTTTTGTGAACAAATTATATTTCACAAGAGATAAAATCTATGTGTAACTTTTTCGTAAAAAATAGTCTTTAAAAAATATTTTCTCTTAAACAGATACCTTCTTTTTGCAACAGAGGGTGTGGGTGTTAATATCACTGATATCAATACACCCACAACCCCACTCACACCCTCGTAGAAATAACAGAAAATCGTTACCAAATGATCTTCTATTTTTAATGCAAACTTTTATTGTATTAATACAGGTATATGAAAAGCAAAAATTCTGATATATTTTTTAAGTGTAAGGCACAGTTCGTTATATAAATCTTTCTATCCACTATATGTTGTTCACATAACTAGAATTTGCCAATGCCCAATGTTCATCTTCGTGGCAAGAGATCCATTCAGCGTTGTCAAATAATGGAAAATTTTTCGATGGAGTTTCATTATCGCTAAAACAAGAATAAAAAACGATAAGATATGTTATAAAATGATTCATATCTAACCGTTTTAATGAGAGAATAGTTTCTCTGTTGAACGACATTAACACTAGTTGGTTTTTGCAACTTAATATAAGTTGATTTGTTGTAGCTTGTATGAGTAGTGATATATTTTCTATGAATAGTTTTTCTAAACATTGTCCATTTTCGATTTGATACATGTACAAGAATGATTCTTTTATAGATATTCCAAAGAGATATTTTCTGTCTTCTGAGAAACATAATGTATCACATAAGGCATGCAATCGAATAGTGCCACGTAATAGTTTTTCGACATCATAGATAATCAATTTTTTTAAATTATAATTAAGTAGAGCGATACAGTTACCTTTTGTTGCAAGAAGATCGGCATGTTCTAAAGAGATAATTGAGTTATCATCATTAATAATAAGCTGTAAATAAACTTGATTATTATTATCATGAAAAACTAGAGCTTTTGAAAGAGAGTCAATCTTTTTAATCTTGATGTTTCTATTGATTTGTGTTGAAAGATATTTGATCGTGTTTTTCTTCGAATTATACATAGCTATTGTTGAATAATCATCGGATAGAATACACAATGTTGATTGTTCTGGCAATATAACACTTAATAGTGAATGAAATTCGAATTTGATATCTGCCACGCAATGTAAAATGAGTGTAGATTTTGTATTCATTTGAAAAAGTCGCTGTGTATGATTATCGATGACGAAGAAAAATGGTGCAAGTGAATAAATTTTGACGAAATTATTTTGAAATTCGGTCGTTTCGAAAAGAAGTTTTGGAGTAGAACAAATTGAATATAAGAAGAGTATATTTTTGGAGTCAAGAATGAGAATATATGGCTGAATAATAGTATACTGAACAATTGTATTTGAAATATGTAGTTTCATGTTAAAAGACAGATGTTCAGCAAATGTAAACAGCTTGAGGATGCTGCATCATATTAGATTTTTCGATAAAAACATTATACAGTTATTAATATTCCTTACCTTTTTGTTTCATCTAGTGTAACAACGAATTCATCGTGAATTTGTAAATGGCAGATTTGTTCTTGAACCATTGGATCTATTAAATGAGGGTTTGAGTATTCGAGTAAGTAAGCCATAATTGTAGCATAGTATTTACGTAATTCACCGTTTTCTAATGTACAATAGACGGTTATTCCACTTTCATCATCTTTCAATAAGAATATATTTATAAAATTTTTTTATTAGAAAAAATACTCACCAATGTTACATACACAATCAGATATTTGTTCATCAACTTGAATATGAGCAAGTCGACGGTACCTATGAATTCTATTCTCACATTTCCATTCGAAAATACTAATATTTGATGTATTCCGATTGAGACAACAAATAAAATCCGAACCAGATTTACTAGGTGTACTACACACTTCTTCATATTTACCAGAAATAATAAAATGATTACCACACGAATGAAAAATTACTAAAGATTCTTCTGTGAGCCATATAAGTGCAGCATTATACGTTGTCTCTTCAAAAATGCAATGATGACGATAAACAATTCGATTAAGAGGAGGTAAATTTTCAATTTTTTCGAAACAATCATTTGCAAAGCGTTCAAAATGATAAAGATAAATGCATGATTGACCTTCTGAATAAAACACATCGGTCTCATGGCTAAAGAGAATACCTTCATTTCTAGGTTTTTCTTGCAGAGTAGCAATAGGTATAAAGCATATTCGATTATTTTCATCATGTTCGTTAATATTGATACGTAGATACTGAATTAAACCGGTTTTAAGTATAACTTTGATTAATACGCCATTGTCTATCTTAAGAGTGGAACATTGTAATATGGATTCATTGTATGAATGTTGTCCCATCATTACTTTCTTTGAGCAGTTCCAAATATCAATTGATTTACTGCTTCCAGAACAGGTAAGAAGTGTACCGATATGAATAAAATCAATATACAATAATTCATCAATATTTAACTGCAACATGCATTCTTGTGTTTGAGCATATTTCAATACAAGAAGCGATTGTGAAGAGTAGAGACAAACATAAAAATTACTATATTTAATCGATGTGAAAATATTCGGACGTAACTGATACTCATTAACTTTACCAGCTAAATAGTATTCACTGAGATGAAAACTAAGAAGTTTTTCTGAGAGAAGTACAAATAAATTGCTTGAATCTAGATCGAGACCAATGTTATAAACGATGCCAACTGTGTATCTACTCATGCATACTTGAAAAGATCTCGATTCGTTCTTCAACATAAGAAGATTACAATGATTAAGGCATTGTTGAAATAGCTTATAGATCAGTTCAGGTAATATCTCGATCAGAGGAAGTAATCGAGAAGAGAGTTCAAAGGCAAAATTTTTCGGATATTTATCGAGAACAAAAGAACAAGCTTCATATTGAGTGAGAAGAAATCGAAGTTCAGGATAGAACCATTCACTGGCTCGTAATTCACTTATTTTATAACAATGAAGATAACTAGATATAAAATCATAATCATAGAGAAACCATGGTTCACAGCAAATATTATCAAGATTCATACACAGCTGATTGATACGTCGCATATTATAAATAGGACCTTTTCCTTTGACAATCGTTACATAGGGCGATTGCTTCGCAAGGCGACGATCGACACAAAGAGAAGTGTTACGATGATTTTTTTCGATGAGCTTTGGAGACTTGATTTCGAATGGTTGATCGTGTAAATTCGGGAAATGTCCTATGTTACCAGCGTAGTAAGCACGTCGAATCAGTTCGACTTCTTTCGCCTCATTACCTCCAAATGAACCGCGTTCTATAAAGCTCCGATGATAGCTAAATACAAAAGTTAGTTTTTCAATGGTTCTTGATAAAAGTTAAATATCATAGTTCTGTAAGTATAGTGAAATAAACAATAGGAATTAGTGTTTTTGGCTTTTAAACCGATATATCTGTCATAGAATTGTGCTTTTTAACTGACTAAGAAATATTTTTGTTTAAGTCGCAACTAAGAGTTGGCTCTCTACTAGTCTGAAATATTTTCTACTATATCGAAAATTCATAAATTTTAAATATAATAAGCTTCCACATCGAAATCTGAATCTATTACACTTACAAATAAATAACAGAAACATTGTCGACAGTTTTTTCCACGAGGTACTTCTGCATATCGTTACGGATGCGAATCCATAGAGTACTGGGTAATCGAAATATACTGAGTGGCGGTAAATAATGAATAAAAATGGACTGTAGTACTTCGTTATCAGCACTAAGCATATCCTGTAACTCCGTTTCGCTCAACCCTCCAGCTTGGCGTAGATAAGCCATAGCGCGTTCAAATAAAATTGTACCGTGTTTCTGGGACAATTTAGAATATAAATATTTTATAGCGCCTCTTGTGGATTTCTTTTGCAGGAAACTGGGATCGGGTTCGTCGTCGAATGAGTGCCATGAACGTGTTATTTCATAAAGAAGTGAAAGAAACAATGGTGTTGGTTGTGGTTCACCATAATCACTATTGGGTAAAAACTTCGGTTGTAACCACTCCTTTTGAAGTGGTGTGAGACACCGTTGATCACGCGCCAACCATGAACGAAAAACTTGTTGAGCTACATGCTCATCAAACTCTGTTATTTCAATCATAGAAGTATCCCCGAAAAGAGATTTTAATCCTTCAAGAATTTTATAATCATTTTTTTTATCTTCAATTACTGGTATTGTGGATATAATGCATTTGACATTGTTCGGATAGCTCATAGGTAACCATTTAGAACAATCGTAATATTCAATCTGCAGTTGGTCAATAGAGTCAAATAGAAGTATGAGTTGTTCATTTTCAGGAATTTGGCCGAGTATATGTTCAAGTATTCGCTTGAGATTTTGAATAGTCATTGAGTCATGAATAAGATAAGATAGTTTGATGTTATAGATAATACAAATTTGCTGAATAATAGAGACGAGTGGTCGACGAACATCACTTGATTGTGGTGTGGTACCAAGAAAACGAATGACGACAGACACCGAGCTCAGCTTTGCAAACCACTTTCCGACCTTGAAACAAAACTTGTGGTATTAAACTTGTTCAAGACAGAATTTACCTTTATTGCAATCTCAGCCATAATAGATGATTTTCCTGTACCTGAATTTCCATATAAAATACATGGTTGTGCTGACACGTCGGATAAAACTATAGCTTTGACCTTGAATCGGACAAAAAAAACTTGAATAAAAACATTTCTCATCGTTTAACAACATTTCTTCTAATACAAATCTTATGCTCCTTAGACTAATCTAAAATTTTCTGGAGTTCACGCCCAAACTCATTCCGTACAGCTGCTGATTGCATTCATCATGTTTCAAGCGAACGAGAGTCATTGAAACATGATTCGCAAACTTGTCGTCCAATTACCGTCCTTACTCAACAAAATAGTGATGGTAAATTAATAAACATCTGGTAATTCATGATCCACATATTAGGACTGATTATATTTCTATCATTTAAGACACAGCTATCAGATAAACTAGTATCTTCATGAATACTTGAAAAATATTAATCAAAAATTTAGATAAGAAAAACATTATCAACAACAAAGAGCATAAATTTACATTATAGAAAGGCAAAAGCACATGCAAAATGTTGTTCTTAGTCTTAATTATCTGCACGTGATAAAAAACATCTAAGCTATGGTTTATCCATCATGCACGCCTGACTTTGCTTCTTGAAACTTTGGTTGCTCAGTGATCTGAAACGCAGCTTTGACATCTATCCACACGCTAAGAATTCAGGTAAAATAATAACTGAGGAACTTAATTCAATACCTATTCATGAAGACCAAAATATCTTTTAGAAAAGGAGTGATAGGATGACATTTTATATAGAACATCGTATAGACTACTTTAAACATTCACTGTAAATAGACTAGCAAATGCTTTTTCTATGAATAAATATTCCAAATTGCATGGACTGTTTGATTAACTTATGTAATTGCTTGCAGAATCACAGGATGCCAAATTTTGAAACATTCTCGTGATTTGAGAATTTCATACTAGAAATCCGACTTGTGCTATGTCTTTTTCTAATCTCTGCAAAAATGGCGGAGCCAGAGGACAGGTAGGGAGCCGAGCCTTCTAGTTATCTTTGAGTCTTATCTAGCAGAATGTTGAAAACATATAATTTTTTTTCTAGTACAAAAATGTATTTGTCTTTGTCATGGAACATTTTAACAGATATGTTATATTATGAAGCTCAACGATGTTCTGAAAGAAGAGAAAATGCAATAAATATAATTCTCAATCACTTCCTTGAAACTATAACCTTCCATTGCAAAGACTAGTGGACAACTGGAAAGTTATTGGACAAGCTTTTGGCTCACTACTGATCCGTTGGAAAGAATTTTTGACGAATCGAACATTTGTGCTGAAATCAAAGTATTGTGCGCTTTTCGAATACAGGCTTAAAAATGTTGAGTACATTTTGTTTCAAATGTAGCAAAGAACTTTTTGAAAGGCATGACAAATTACTTATGATGCTTCACCGAAAGATTTTTGTTTATCCTGTGAGACCTTTTACGAATATATCACGCATTATCTGAGTCGAACGTGTTGCAGAGTCGATACTTCCTGACAATATGTGATATTGAAGTGAGGAGGATGTAACAGATCTACAACCGACTTTGGATTTGGACCCAAGGTTTTCAGATTTCTATCAAGATTTGACTTTGAGTTTAGCTTTAAAATTGGAATTGGATTTCGAGACTTAGGTTCGGATTTCGGTTTGCTCTTAAATGACCCAAATCTCAAAGAGTTTGATAAGGTAGGATCTCAACAACAACGATCTTCTTCACTAGGATTTCAGTACAATCAGACAATAATTTAGCGATTTGGGATCAAATCCAAATTCTAAAAAATTGGTCCCCACTCCCAAATTTGTTTCTTGTTGATTTTGCCACAAACTTAACAAAGAAGATCGTTGTTGCTGATACCTTATCTTATCAAACTTTTAGGGAATTCGGATTATTTGAAACTACACCTAAATCTAAACTCCTAAATTCAGTACCAAACTCGAATTGAACTCAAATTTAATCTCAAATTCAAACCAAATAATATCAGATTCGAAGGCTTTGAATCTTTTGTACGCTTTATATTGAACTGAACTGTAGATGTGACTCAAGTGAGGATACAAGCAACGGTACGTTCTGGTCTACAAGCTAATATATAAATAAGATCCCAATTTTCAGTTTTGGTATTGCAAGTTGAAATACCAAACTCTTCTGAAAAAGTTTCTAACCGAATTAATTTGTTGTACTTTGCAAAGACTATTTCACTACTTTTGACTGGTTGGAAACGCACTTTAGACTATCAAAATTCATCAAACACGTTGTCTAAAAACTTTTCAATCAACCTTTAAAGCATTTTTATATCAGATAAAACACATATTTCGAAAATCTCGCCATGTTAGGAAAGATAGGTACAGCGGATAGTCAACAAATATCAAATGACAAAAAAACACCATGCTGACAGGAAAATTAGAGTATATTGAAAAAACTTTTGTCCTTGGTTGCTTACTGTGACGGGCGAGCGGGGGGGGGGGG